GGGTCTCAAAGTTATATAGGAATTTGTTGAATGTAAGTTTGTTTGTCTTACGATTGCTTGTTTACATTTTATTTATTTTATGCTGAGAGCACCTCAACCTGAATCCGTCATGATGCCGATCATTTGCAGGCTGTATTATAATATCTAAGTTAATAAGAACAGCTGATGTGAAAATTGAAAGACATACTGGAGGTGTTGGATCATCAGTCCAAAAATATTAGCAACTGAAAGCAACTTGACAAATTTCAGTCTTCAGAATTTTTTGTGTCAGTTTTGATTGAGTAGGTTTTTAGCTTTGGTTAGCTAATACTACAACACAACATTTTAAATTCATATCTCTGGCTGGGATCATGATTGTGGGGTTTACTGCCTGCAATGTCAAACATAAAGGGCCTGATCTTTTCGAGTGGTAGCAAAAATCTCAGAGCTAATCAGTAAATGTTCTGCAAAACGTTTGCACGTGCATACCTAAAGATGACGACATTTTATTTGATATCAGTTAACTGACTTCCAGCTAAAGCCTTGTTTTTCATACTTAAGACATGCTTTTTCATGCTTATAAGTGAAAATAAAGAAATACTTTAGTACTTCTTCTTAAGATTTCTTTCTTTTTTCCCCCCAAATTCTGATTATTATTGTCACATTTCATTCCATAGAAGACGATAGTGTGAACAGCTCCAGGGCAGAAATTTGTTAGGATTGGGCTCCAGACTGTGTTAAATCCCACACAAATATACAGAATGCAGGGCAACTTATTTCAAAGTTTTTTAAAACAGAATTATTTACAACAGTAAGTTCCCATGAAACCAGCAACTAGTAACTTTGATCTCTGCTGTTATACAAGCAAATAGGAAAAACTTAACCACATGAGGTGACCTGTTAGGCAACAGACAGTGGAAAAAAACACTTTTTTTTTGCCAGGTCGTAACACATGGGAAATGAAATACTTCAACAAAATAAAAGTCTTACTGCAGTTACTTATCTGAATACAATAAATGTTGCTGGGAAACGTTTTACACAGTAGACAAAAAGTGTGGAGTAACAATGAAAGTGTTACACCATGTGTTACTGTTGCTCCTCTGTGTCTGTGTGTTAGTGTGTGTGTGTGTGTCTGTGTGTCTGTGTGTCTATGTGTTTGTGTGTGTGTGTGTGTGTAGCATCCATAAGAGGAGAACAAATTTCTTGTACTGAAAATGTACATATGTGTGTGTGTGTGTGTGTGTGTGTGTGTGTGTGTGTGTGTGTGTGTGCCATGTTTGCATATCTTTGTGGGGACTAACAGCCTTTATGGGGACAAAATCCCCGTCCCCGTGGGTTTGAAA